AAAAATACGAGAATTTTGAATGCGATTCACACTTTGACTAAAGCAGAAAATCTATTCAAAGTTATTTACGTAGACAAAAACTACAAATTTTACTGTATACATCATAAACATTTTCAATAGTAATTAATTACGCTGTTTGATTTGTTTTATTATATTTGATAATATACAATGAATAATTTTGACTTTACTTACACATGAATGAATTTATGCATAGACGCACTCGCACACGCACACATACACAATATATACACAGAGAGAGACGCATAAGAACAACACAAAATAAAAAATTCAAAATGCAAGACATTCTACTCAATTTTTCTTATTTTCCTCTCTATGTTGTTTTGTTTTTTATTTTTACTCCAAGACTTTATGACAAAATAATCTATGATATATACATATATACACATTTATATACATATAAATTAGAAAAAAAACGCGAAACAATACCAATGATTATTTCCTCTAATTTTTTTTTATTCTGGATGGAGAGAAAGCAAAAAAATAGAAAGGAATTTTTTAAAAAAATTGACAACACAGGAAAACAAAATTTCCCAAACGAACGTTGATGCTAATTGTTAATTTTCTTTTTTTTTTAAAAAAAAAGAATAAAATAGTTACAAAGTTAAAAAAAATTAAACGAAAAAAAATGCAGTGAAAATGAATTATTTGTTGTATGTGTTAGACGACAACGACATTTGCTATAACTACCAAAAAATAAATATGCAAATTATTTTACAACTATTCATTTATATATATATATATATATATATATATATATATATATATTTACATTTTAGTAATACAGACAAAATTGAACAAAACTTTTTTAAAAAAACATAGAAATTTGTTTCGAATCAACTAAAAACTACAAAAAAATAAAAATGAAATAAAAAAAATAGTTTAAAAAAAGAAGACGAATTATAAAAGAATTGCTCTAAGAGAAAAACAATGGTGTTCATTGAATTATTTAATTTGTTAAATTTGCAAATTAATAAAAAAAATATTTTTTTTTTAAAAAAAAAGACAAGAACAAAAACAAAACAATTAATTTGTATTATTTTTTATTTTTGATAGGCCTAAAAATAAACCGGAAAAGCAAGACATTTTTTTTTGACAAAATGTACTTAAGGTATTTATTATAAAATGGACTGAAATTAAATCCATTTTGAAAAACAGGAAGAAAAAAAAGAAAGAACACAAATGTTTTTTTTTCATTGTTTAACAAAATTAATAGTAATAATAATAATATGGTAAGCACAAACTATGTGCTCATTAATCATTTGAGTTTCTTTCAAAGAAAGAAGATGAAAACGTCAGTATTTTTCCTGTATTGTTAAATAATTTATTTGCAATTACTATATTAACTCCATCTGACGCCAATAAACATTCTTATTTATTTCATCATTGCGTTCACATCAAAAAACTTACACACATTTGTATAAATGATTGAGTGAATGTATGGATGAAAAACTGCTTGAATGAGTTCATAAATAAGAATGTTTGTTATTGTGAATCAGTTGAAGAGTTCATAGTGTTAAAATAACAAACATAACAAATGATTAATGGCACTCAATAAAAATGATTATGTCAGATGAATATATCAGTGCTCTCAAGAAAATAAAATCTAATAGTCATAAATTTAATACATTTTTTTTCGATTCAAATATCTCATCACTACACTTATTGATTGTCATCAGCTTTCAACTTGATTTCAACTTATGATGAGAATTTTATATTCATTATTATTCGTGTGTAAAAGTAAACTAACACTTTCGTTCTTTCAAAAATCTAACATAACGAAGAAGTACTCGTATTAATTTCTGTCCATTTATCTGTTTATATAAATAAATTTATCCAGACATATAGCAATGAATTATGATTATTTTATGTCGTACTATTCATATTTAATATAATTTAATTGATTACCAGTAGAAAAAAGTAGTTTTGAAGCTTAGAACTAAACATTTTCTTAATTTATATTAATTTGTTTGTTTATATGAAAAACTAACTGTAAATGAATAAGTTGACAATTAAGCATTGAACTTTAAAAAAATCTATGTGACAGAATATGAAAAAATTACACTGATTGCATAATATCTTCTAATCCTTACTTCATATATATATATGACTGCCAAATGTTCACTGTATCATGTACTAATAAAAAGAACGGAAAAAGACTAAAGCAATAAAATTTACAAGGCAATCTTTTATTGTATGAAAAAAATATTCGAAGTAACCTGGAACAACGATTATCGATCAGTCAGTGTATGAAACATGTAAGTAGGATTAACAATTACTTACCACTCGAATAATTTCATAATTTTTTTTAAAAAAAAATATTCTTTCAGACAAATCACTAGTGCTATGCTCTAAAAACGATATTACGAATGAAATCAATTCTTCTAATTAGAGTTGTGTTAGCAATCATAACAATAGTAATGTTGATCTTATTATCATTGCTGGATTCAGAAAAAACGATATCCTTCTCAAGTTTGCTAATTAAGTATCGCATCACTTAATAAAAATAATAATAATAATAATATTATCACTAATTCGAGTCAGTGTGTAGATTTTTGTTTTCGATCACATATTACTAACCAGTAATTTCTAGTCTTTAGTGCTGATCGGATTTTACTAACCAGTGTGTAACATAACTCTTGATCAAAGTTAATTGCCATATTTTGATGTATTTTTCTTGATGTGAGTTACATTCTATATATATATATATATATATATATATATATATATATATATATATATATATATATGCTAAAATCGATTATATTATTATGCAATTAAATTTACTTTTCAATGAAATTGTGAACCATCAAATAGTAGACAGCCACTGAAAGCTGAGAGCATTGTACGGCCGTCCTATAATGATTATTATTGTGCTCGCTAGTGACTAACTTCGTCAAGACACTAGTGGACTTTCAGTGAGAGGCCATATCCAATGGGGGTAAAATATGTAGAGTATGAAGCAGTTACTCACTGAAGACAATAGATAATGATAGATGAAAGTTGGACATTGGCACCGCTGGATGCTCTGACTCAATGGTCTAGAGGTTGTGTTCTCACCTACAACCATCAGTCCCGAGAATAGAGTCGTAAATTCACACCGCAACGGAGTCCTACACCAGGAAATAATGGCCGTCATGTTTACAGCTTTTCTTTGTTCACTTAACTTTTTTGATTATTTGAAAAGAGTAAATCAATTAATTTGTGATTTCAAAGTAATTTTTATTTAAAAAATTTAAAACAACTAACTTATTTGTAAGCTTTTTATACATATTTCTTTGAATGTTTACAATTTAAATGATTATAAAACAGGAAATTTATTGTTTACAAATATAATTTAAATGATTTTCTTTAATCCGTTTTTCTCCACTTTACTGTGGATTTCACTGAGTTTCCTTCTCTTTTTTCAAGTACTCTTAGGTTAAAACTTAATCTCATGATTACTACTCATAGAGAATAGAACATTTTATTCAAAAATATACTTCAAAATCTATCGGTACTCATTATTTATCAATGTGGATTATCTTTTCCAGGCAGGCATATTACATATTAACCAATCAGGTGACAGAGAGAATTATGTGAATTACAAATTTAGACAACTGTTCAATTTTCTAATAAGCTATGATATTTTAAATCATTTTAATTTTTTTTTCTATAGTATTATTTGATGTTTTTATAATGATTATTTCCCAAGAATGAGGTCGTTTGCAGAAACGTTTCTTAGATCGGTCTAATTATGATTCATACCATTCATCATTATTGAATTAAATTAGACTTCAATTTTAGGACAAGAAACAAATTTTCTCATGATCTCAATTGTGTATCGAATTAATAAACACAATAAAATAAAAAAAACAATTTCTAATCATAGTTATACATTTTATTTTATCAGCTAATCACCATGTTGAGGTTGAAAGTGTTAGAGCTGTGAATAATAATAAAAATAATCATAAAATGAATAACACAAAGTGAAAAATGTAACACTTATTGATGAAAGAAATTAGAACGGATATTTTCAGTTAGGAATATTTGAGTTAAAATTGCTGGTGTAATGAAAATATTTTAAGTTAGATAGTTAGTAAAATTGAATAAATCAAATAACCAAAATCTTTACTAAAGAAACATTTTTATGTCAACGTAATCTATATTAGTTCACTATTGCAGTAACAGTGGGTATCAATGAACAATTTGCGTTTCAGAATTAAAAGCATAACACACTAAGGAGTGATAACCGAAATGAAACTAAAATTCAATTTTTTCTAACTATGATAGTAGATCATTTAAAACTAAACAAGCTATCATGAAACAAATCATAACTCATGGACAAACTGCAACTTAAATAATAGCATTGAATCAGGTAGAACGACTATACAACATAATATGGGTTTTCACTAAAGGGTCAATAAGTATAAGGTTGGAAATTGAAAGTTAGCAATATAAGTACGACTTGTTGTCACATGTAGAGCAACATCTTATACATACTACTAACTGAATAACCATAAGGTATGCTAAAAGGAGTAATGTGAGAAATGGTTCATTAATGTGAGGGCGGATATGAATAGTAAATTTCCTTCATTTATTTTGTCAACTACATCTTTTATTCTTGTGAATAATAATGAGAAGATTCAAATAAATATTTATTCAGTATGAATATATACATATACTATACTATATTTGAATAAAAGCAATATGATACTACTGATAGAAACATTTCAGTAGAAATTCACTGTAATATCCATTGTCTATTCTACGAAACTAAACCAGAACAAAAAACAATCTGTTTACTTACTGAATTATGATGATTTATAATCTTTGTTGATTATATATTTTTCTAACACTTATTCTAAATGGTGTTATTCTTGTTGTTATTATTTTATAGATGCATTAACAGTCAATAATGATTGCGAAAATAAACAACATTTGAGATAAACACATTAATATAGAATGTCTACTTAATCATTCTTTCAATTAGTTAAAAGAATATGATCAATTTACCATTACTAGACAAATTCTCTGTACATCTTCTCTTTGTTATTATTTGGGGCAATGCTGATATGCAAACTACTGAAAATTCAACATCTAATCGTTTGAGCAGATCTACATCGTCTATGGCAAACTTCAATGGTCTACCAATAACGCGATTATATGTAAGTATACCAGAAGAATTAACACCTGGCAGCCTTGTTTTAGACTTGAATAAACATCCTAAAATAAACAATTTTTTAACTGATCAAAATGCTCTTTTAATGCATAACACCGGTTTATATCGATATAGATTATTGAATGCGTTTGATAGTTACTTATTTCGTATAGGATCAAAAACTGGTAAAGTGACCGTCGCTACACGATTGGATCGAGAAGCATTATGTTCAAGTTTAAAAGCTCAATTCTGTTGTAACACAAGATCTGGCAGTATACCAGCTCCAGTTTTAGGTGAATCTGACTTGAAAATGAGATCAACCGAAGTTAATCCAAGTCAACAGTGTTATCTAGTAGTACATATCAGTTTACAGTTTGACAGTGAAAATAATCAAAACAATGACATTTTTGTTAATCCACATCAACAAGATAAGACAAGTCGGGCAGCTTTAATTTACCTCTATGTACATTTAGATGATATCAACGATCATACACCACAGTTTCCTGCACATTCCGTTGATTTGAATGTTATGGAAGACACACCAGTTGGAAGTGTTCTGCACTATTTTAGAATATCTGATCCTGATATCGGTTCAAATTCATTGGAATCAGTCAATTTAACAGTTATTCCACTACCAAATTTATCAGCTGATCAGTCGGTAAAATTACAACAGATGAATTTTTTAATACCTGATTTATTAAGTAAACCATTTGAAGTGGTAATGACAAGAGAGGGTGCAACATTTAGTCTAAAAAATCAATTAGATCGTGAAATTGTTCCAGCCTATGATGTCACATTGATTGCATTGGACGGAAACAAACAAAATCCACGTTCAAGTCAAATCGGTTTTCGTGTACACGTGGCTGATGTTAATGATAATCCACCTAAATGGTTAAAACAAAAACCGTTAAATGATGTTCAATCTTCAAATTATGAACAAGAATCTAATTTAGAATTAGATAATGACTATCCAAGATTTATTGTATCAGTACCAGAAAATACGCAGATAGGTGCCTTGATTTTTTGGCTTCAAGCTCGTGATGCTGATATAGGTGAAAATGCCCGTCTACAGTATTTAATTGATACAGGTGCTCCTGGTGGATTGGTCGGAGCAGATTATTTGTCAGTCCAACCAAATACAGGTGAAGTAAGATTGAGAACTCAACTAGATTATGAAACAATTTCTATGCAGATTAATGGTCCTGAAATCGATATCCCAATAGTGGTACATGACAATCCACGAAATGGACGTCAACTGTCCGCTAGGGGAATGCTTGTAGTTAGAGTTTTGGATGTAAATGATGTACATCCTACAGTCGTCGCAACACCCCTAGCTCCAGTATTATCTAGCGGAAGCTTCTTTCCAAACTCGATTGAAAATAATCATGCAAGATCTGTTTTCGGAATTTGGGAAAATCAACTACCTGGTCAACCTGTAGCTAGTATTCATGTTAGCGATCCTGATACTGGTGATGGTGGAGTTGTAGAGTGCACAATTACCAGTGAGTACTTCCGCTTAGTAACAGAATCATCAGCATTAAGATCGCCCTATGAAACATTATATGATACAACCAGTCTGGATACAATGAAGCCTGATTACAGTGTTCCAAAGGTAATAGAAGCTTTATCTGGATCTGCTACATATCAGCTCATCTCTTCACAACGTTTAGACAGAGAGACTATTGCTCGACATCAGGTTCTACTAACTTGCCGAGATCATGACACAATAAAACCGCTAGTATTTACATATCGGCTAGATATTGAAGTGATGGATGAGAATGACAACCCACCAGTTATATCCTCTGATAAACTTGTGTTAACGTGTCCAGAAAACGCATCACCTGGAAGAGTAATCGGTCGACTAAATGTTACAGACGCTGATATAGGTGAAAATGCCCGATTACACTTTTGGATTGATGAAGCTGATGCGAGTTGGATTAGTATACAGTCTAATACAGGTGAAATTCGAGTGAATACTGTATTTGATAGAGAATTGGAGCCTGAACGTATATTCACTGTTTATGTATCCGATTCAGGTGCAAATGCACATACAGCTTCAGCTGAAGTTAAAATTGAAATTTTAGATGAAAATGATCATACACCACATTTCACAGATTTATACTTTTTCTCCATACCAGAAAATAGCCCACCTGATACAGAAGTTGGTCAAATTCATGCTGTAGATGAAGATGTTGGAGATAATGGAAAGGTAAGATAACAATTATAATTTTATTTTAATATATAACTTATTCTGAATCTAATCATTATCAAAGAATAATATGAACTAGTAAATTACTTGTAACGTGGATCAAAAAAAAAACTTTTTACATTACAATCGAGATATTCCAGAAAGAGCACAAAAGATGTTCAGTACTTTGTAGTAATCAGTTATTCTTTGACAGACGTTCCTTTCCTATTATATGATTTTCTTCATATTAAACTATCAATAACAAATAATTCATTGAATAGTTTGATGATAAGTTTTAAAAGTGTATCAAGATTTTTATAAATGAGTAAATTGGAATTTTCGTTATACACTTTTATCGCTTATTATAAATACCAAATGAGAGCTGAACAAATATCAATGCTGAACTAAAATAATTTTCATAGATTGGACCCAGGATTTACACTGTTTGGATTATCATTGAGAACTACAGACTGTTCAGTATGTATTCGGTCTCAATTTGTAATTTAGTCAATAGTGAACACTTATAACTTCATATACCATCAAAACCTCACCTCATAAAGTTCTAGGTAAGGCACAACCTTATTTGGACTCAGTCAGTCAGAACTTAACTATCCGCCTTCATTATATCAGTTAATTAATAATCTAGTTTAACAATCAGTAAGCATCATCACTGATGACTGTTTCATGAGTGACTATTAATAGATCTTTTGTTGATATACATCAGCAACGATGGACATTTTTAAATTTCCTTAGGTTTACTCATCATTCAACTACAATAATTCACTTTATTGAAGCTTTTATTGACTTACGAAACATCACAAAGTGGACAAAAAATTACTTAACTAAACGTTAAAACACTAGTTTTCCATATTGATTAACTTACATTCTTCATTCAATGTAATATTTTTTCATAACAATTGAATCACAAAATGAAAATTGAAAAACTAATTCTTAGTAAATGGATAAAATTTCATTTTGAATAGAATATGACATATAGTTGAAGTAGAATTTCATTTAAAATTTCCTGAAATTTTATCAGTTTATTTTTTACACCTAAAACTGAATTGACAAAATGTATTGATCATATTAAACGATAGAATTAAATTTTACGATCTAGAATGGTAACCATGACTAGTAGAAAAGACAAAAGATTTATAATTAAGTTTTTTTTATATATATATATAAAGTGCCTAGATGAATATTATGGAAATCATGAAAAAAATATAAGTGATTATAAACAAGCCTTAACTGATAATCACACTCTCTTTATCAGAAGACTGATTTAGAGCAATCTCACTGTGAATGAGTTTGATACCTGTAAATGTTTCATTGAATACCAACATCATATATGATAAGCATATAGTATAATCATATATAATATAAAAAAAGATATTTAATGTTAAGATATCTCAAATCGAAATGCGATAACTGCCTAATGATCAGTAAGTTTTTATTGATTTCTCGTTTAATATCAGTTCACAATAAAAATGACATTTAATGATATCGTGAAAACGAAAGAGGATTTAATAAACTTCTAACTATCTGATCATCACTGTTATGCCAAAAAAAGACATTAATCGACGAAACTAACTGAATAACGTAAGTCGGATAAGTTTAGGTCAGAAATTAATATTAAAAGAGATACTTTTAGTAAAATACTGGATGTAATCCGGTTAAATGTATCGACGAGTTATACAGAATGATTTTTGAATGGTCGCAACCATTATCATCATTAATTGGTGAAAACATGCAAGAATTACAAGTTTTTTTTTCACATTTTTCACATAGATCAGTTCCCTAGGTTATTACATTTGAGCACGCATCCGATTTCTTTGTACAAAATGAAATATAAGAAAAAATGTATCATCTTGACATTAAATATGTGCTGTATTTATATGAACTAGAAAAGGTGACTGTGTATAATATAAATATACTTTTAACTAGGGATTTGTCAGTTGAGTTTGTGTAGAACTTTTAAAACAAAAAATAGATATTTTATTCCAGTGACCCCTTTTACTAGATTGCTTAGTAGTTCACGATAAGTAATATCAATAGATCAGTTTTTATTCTTAATATTAGTCAAATAGAAGTGATAGAAAATCAAAAACGAACTGCTTTAACACGGACATTAATTAATGTTAACTTATCTCCAATTTCTCAATTAACAGACATATTTCATTTTGGTAACAAGCTAACATTTAATATTTTTCACTTCTATTTCCAATTCAAAACACTTGACTAACACACATTGTAACCCTTAGGCATTGCTGCGCATAATTCACCTTCACCATCTGGTCTAGATGAGAGAAAAGAAAACTGTTGATGAATGTTGAAGCATTGAACTTTTACCATCTGCAAAGTGACAAAATATTAACTAATCCCTTATCATTGTTTTCTTCCCCTGTTTCATTAACTTTTTGGCAGAATCAATAATAAAATGTAAATAATACACATAATCATTAACTTGAGCTTAAATCGAAAATTCTAATGAATATCTCATTGTAGCCTTGACAATCTCACAGTTATATGACTAAAATTTTCCGAACAATTTCCATTTAAAACTGAGGTATTCAAACTATAAAATGTCATCATTTTGAAATTGATTTATTATTTTAATCACACGGGACATTAATTTGATTGAAAGTTCACTAATTCCGTGAAAAAGTGATACATGATTCACATTTACTTTAATTATTATGGAGTAATAAGTAAATGGAGCCCTGTTTACTTCTTTAGGAATTTATTTCTCTTGTCTCTGATGTTGAAATAAACAATTTGTATTCAAAAAAGTGTCTATATAAATAATTGATGTCTAATTGAAATTTGATAAAAATTCTTTCACACACTTTGTCTTAGAAATTCGAGCTTCTAGGCTAGCAAATAAACCATAAGATTTATCACCTCAATGACCACCACAACTGCTGCTGCTACTACTACTACTACTACTACTACTACTACTACACTGAATGTAATAACAAAGATGCCCAAACAGATGTTATCATAGGATGGTGTAGGTTTATATTTATATTACAAAACAAATAGATATTTAGATTACGGTTACAACCTACTTGATGTGTCTTAAGTGCTAACCATTTACTACATTACTAACCAATCAACATCAAAAGTTTTAATTCCGTGGGCAAACTGTCATCACATATTTTAAAAAAAAACCAATCCCACTAAAAGTTACACGTGTCAAGTGGATCATTAGTAATACAAGATCAAGATGCTTTGCATTCCCTATTGAAATGATTAAATTACAATACTATAATTTAGTTTATCTGAAACAGAGATTATAAACAGATAATGTAAACAAATTTCCATCGTCTACAAGGTTTGACTTCACAAACTGTATACCATTGAGCATCTTTTTGAGTGATAAACTCCACCATCTTGCAGTTTACCTCTGTTTATCCACCAAAAATTTATTTATTTCACTCAGATTAGACAAATAAGCTAATTTCGAAACATATTCCTTTGAGTTAAAAATTGTAATCTAAACTTTATCCTTAGAAAAGTAAGCAGAATCTTGAAGTAGAACACTATATGGTGTCCAATTCTTCACATCAACTTCTATAATCTCGGTTAAATCTCACTAATCATTATGAGTGATAGATAACTAGTGACAAAAGTTGTGTTTTTTTTTAATGGTTAATGCTGAAAGAACTCTATCAAAGTAGCAGAAATTCAACCACTGCCTGATAATACGGTATATTTTTGCTGTTGATGTCTAGTCGGTGGAAACTACTAAAGAGAAGTCTTACACTAGGGTTTGATGCCAATCGGGAATGCAATCAGTAAGACATTTTCTACAAGTCTAACATAACTGATATTCTCTATGGGACTAAAATGAATTACATTGAAATAAGTTTACTTTCATCTAACACGAACTGTAAACGAATATAATGTTATGTTATTTGTGAAGTAGTCTCATGAAAGTACAGAAATGTGTACTGCTATCATACACATGTAGGAGTGTTAAATGTTAGAACGGATACTTGGAAAATGAAAAACATAAACTACTAAGTACATATTGAATAGAAAGTTAGTTGAATGTGAACATTTGACAAAACTTTTTAGTCTGAAATCACTAATGACAACAAAAACAGGTCTTCACAATGAATTCACTTCATGAGTCATTCGTATACATTTCTTCTGACTGTCTACACTGTTTGTATGGCTAAAAAGAGATAGAACAATACAGAGATAATGTATTTATCTCACAATTTAAACCTTTATTTTAATGTTCATTGATAACAGCAAATCTCTTTTAGATGGGATATTATACCCGTACATTTTGTGAATTTTTAAGCTTGACTAAACTGATTAAATGAATATAAGGATAACATAATGCTTTGATACTTACCTCTTCCTTTGTTCTTATTAATAGTGCCAATTACTTATCTATGGTAGGATTGAATGGATGTCATGACCTATTAAACTCAGGAATAAGTATTACTTCCTTAAACACCACTACAACTTTTAATACTACTAGTAATAATATAGTTTGACACGCTCAACTGAATTTAAAACAAGTTTTGCAAAGAGCTTATCACCTTTTTGAGTATAAAGCTTTTTATCTCATAAAGCATGTAAACTATAATCCCTCTTAGCACAGGTGGATAGTGGCTTGCAGAGGAATCTAGGATGCGCGCTTCGTTTTATTTAGTACTCGTCAGCTGGACGTGTATGCATGTCCAAGACTCTGACACAGTACCTCCACTAGTGAAACCATGCATACATTATTTTTATAACGTATTAATCAACTAAATAAAAAAACAGATAAACGATTATTTGAATAGTTTTGATGACTTCACAACTCGGTAATAATTACCACTAAGTGAAATAATTTCTACGATACAAATACTACAGAAATAGTTCAGCGCTAATACCTTTGACTGCGATACTGAATATATCTACTTTTTAGTGAAAGAATAAACGCCATGTCACTCAAATTCTCTAAACCCTATCTGAGGTTATCACGACAACTCTGATTAGGTCTTTTCATTGAAAATGAAATA